AAAAAAAAAAAAAAAAAAAAAAGAAGGAAATGAGAAATGTGAATTCTTACCCATCTGCCTGTGACTAAAACAGAATTATATATAGAGAGAGTATTTTATTTAGTTTTCAGATGACATGAATGTTATTTTTCAACTTTGGAATAGAAACAACTGAAATACTCTATCAGCCAATCCCCAATGGAACTATTGCTTAGGATCACCTAGGGGAGCTTGCATGATGAGTCAAAGCAGTGTGTCACCAGGGTCAAGAGTCACTAGATCAGACAAACAGGGAGCCGGAGACTGGACTTCAAACTTGAAAGAACTGGTCTTAACTACTTTTTGTTTTTATTCTTTTTTGAGACAGGGTTTCTCTGTGTAACAGCTCTGACTGTCCTGGACTTGTTCTGTAGACCAGATGGCCTCTAACTCAGAGATCCCCCTGCCTCTGCCTCCAGCTGGGACTAAAGGAGTGTGCCACCACTTCTTGACTTGTCTTAGAAACGCTGAATTACAAGCCATTCTGCATTACGTTCTAACTTGAGAGTTCATCACAGAGAATCTGTTGGTCCAGCTGAGGACACAGTGACCTGGACACCATACTCACCAAGCTGGACTTTAAGGAGATTATACTGATCCTTGTGCTGTTGAATCTGAGACACCTGTTGTGTGACTGCTGTTTGCAGCTGTTCATTTTGACATTTCAGTGTAGAAACTTGCTGTTTCAGTTCTTCCAGCTGTAGGTCCTGTGAAACAATATAATCCAGATATTTTCATTTCAAACTAATTAGGCCTACACACAAATAAAATATACAGGCTTTTAAAATAAAGATCAGTATGTTAAAACACTCAACATTTTCAAAACCAATCACTAGTTAAGCACTGGGACTTGATCTCACATGCAAAGGCAATTATCATGCACAAGTTTCAAGCAGGGCTCCACAGGTGAACCATGGCACAGCCTACAATCTGACTGCTGTTACCTAAGAAAACCAAATGAAAAAAACAAAGCAAAGCCAAAGCAAATCTCACTTGGGGCTATGAAACCACTTAAGAAATTTATACCAAACTATTTAAGAAACTTAGTAAATAAGGATACACATATGCATCTATATTATTAATGTATAACATTTACTTGTTAATGTGTGTGAGTATATGTGCATGGGCACATGTTTTCTTGGGTAGGCTGAAAGCCAGAAGTCCCAGTAATCCTCCTGTCTCTGCTCTGCTCCAAGATGGGGTTACAGGAGCACTGGGCACTTGGTTGGTTATGTGGGTGCTGAGATCCCTACTCTGGTCTTCATGAGTCATTTTTCCAGCTGTACAGTCATAATTTTAAATGCTCACTTAATACCTAATCAAGTAGACATTATATAAATCATATTAAATGTTTTTAACACTGAAGTTAATTTCCACTTTTCAAAATAATAAATGTTATTACATATGTGTATTTGTTCATTTAATTTTTTTTTCCTGAATTTTGGAGAATTTCCATAGGATGAATTTTCAAATGTCATTCAAAGGATGTAAGCATTATTGTGGTGCTAAATGTTTATTAAATTTTACAGGACTTAAGTGGTGAGAATGCATAAAATGTTAATTTTATAAGTCAGTAATTATGTCAAAACACTTTTCTTTCTAAATCAACAATATCAGTCCCAAATGTAAGCTATTTACCACGTTCCAAGTATTTATTTTTTATTCTTCCAAAATATATTCATAAACTAAAAATCACTGTATCTGAACCAAAAAATGACTGTATCTGAACCAAGTCATAGATTAAAAATCTATAACTGGGATAGTTTGATGACTCAAATTTTGAGCAAAGTTTGGTTGTAGGTTATTGATTTGGTTGAACACTGAAAGTCTGAGAGCAAACTAAGTATACAGTTATATTATCACTCATAAATTTCCAATCTCAATAATATATATTGTGAGGGAAATAAAAACCCACCCACATACAGATAAGAAGATAAACCTACCCACATGAGCTGTTCTATTTTTTAATGACACTGGAATTTTAATGACATCAGTAATCTAATTACTATACTATATACCATGATAAGAAACTGAATTTAAAGGACATTACAGAGCCGTAAGGTGAGCAATACAATGTGAGTAAAGGACACTGACTAGGATACCGAGAGGAAACATCACTTGATGACTCTGACATAGAGCTCTGATCTTACTCAGCACCTACTCTACAGAGTTGCCTGTCTAACAGGACCACACTCCAGGGACCACACTTTACCCTTTTGGTACCTTAACACCTGCAGAGATTTATCTTCAGTTTCCACCTCTCAAGGCCGTCCCTGCCACACCACAGTTTGAGCTTTACACTGCCACTAATGCACATACACTTGGATTTGGTTCTAACAATTACTGAAAGTTGTTGGGAGAATTCACTAAGTCACAGACAACCCATTTATCCTAAACTGAATATCGTTAGTCTCTACTTACAGGGATGCTGTGAAGAGGAAATGAAATAGCACTTAAAAGATGCTTGGTTCACAGAAGGCAGCAAACATCATCAGTGCCCTAATATCCCCTGATAGCCAACCACCACAATAACCCCCTTCCTGGGCTGCCTCCCTCTAGCCTTCACCCTCAAACATCTGCTTCACAAGGCCAGAGGCTTCTCTAGGTACTTGCTAGCAACAGCAGACACTATGCTATAGGCCATCCTGCCTCTCTTCCTTACCTCTCATCTGGAGAATTAGCTATATCTAGGTTCTTTCAGAGCTCAGCCTGAGTGCTACACCACCTCTGATAGCTCGAGCACTAGGCTTAATCTGCCGTGACACATATACCACAGTTAAGTTAGACATGTGTTTCTCACCCTGAAAACGACAAGTCAATTCATAATATCCTGCACAATGGCTAGCACATAGTAAGTGCTCAATTTAACCAACAGATGCCTTTTTTTTTTTTGGTTTTTTTGAGACAGGGTTTCTCTGTGACTTTGGAGGCTGTCCTGGAACTAGCTCTTGTAGACCAGCCTGGTCTGGAATTCACAGAGATCCGCCTGTCTTTGCCTCCTGAGTGCTGGGATTAAAGACGTGCGCCACCACCGCCTGGCCGAACAGATGCTTTTGAAAAGAGTGAAATGTACTTCCTGCATCCCTCCTCCATTTGAAATGCCACAGAGAAGCAGTGTTCCTTCCAGCAGAGAGCTGTTGTCGGTGAGGAGAAGCCAATCAACTGGTACTTACTTGCTCACGAATCATATTCTTATAGTGAGTCACAATGTTGTCATGCTGTTCTAGTGTCTTCTTTACCTCTTCCTCTTTCTTATCTTCTTCACTGGATTTATAAATAGCCTTAGTAATAACACCTGTAAAAGAAAACGTACTTGAACTCTGATCTGAGTGGTTCCCCAGACTGAACTCAGGGCCACACACCAGCTAAGTCCATGTTTCACCACTCACCTATTACACTCCAACTCGATTTTAAGCATTGCAAACAACTTAATTTTTAGGATTTAATGAGTAAAAATAGCCTAACTCATGAGAGTCATGCAGTACTTTCTAATCATACAGAATCCAAATGCTGCAGATGAACTTCCTGGCTTATCACTCATCCACATCCAAATACACATGTGTCCACAGACACAGACACAGACACACAGACACAGACACACACGCACGCACGCACGCACGCACGCACAATGGCTACATCGTTGGTGTAACTTTCACATCTTACCTTCAAGTTCTTTCACCAGTTTTGTAAACTCATGATCAAATATCATGTATTCTGGACTCGGGAAGTTTGGCTGGGGTTTCTGTGAGGCTCTGGAGTATAACTCATGTTTGCTAATGAATCCTAGTTTCTCTATGAAATTCTCCTTGCCAATTCTCTTCTCTATTAGTTGCTTTAGTTTCTCTCTACATAGATAAACATATGAGACGCTTAATTGCAAAATCATAGGCTTGGTTTACTTATACTTTAGCAAAAAAAGTATCATTATCCCTGGATGATTAGAGGGCCATTTTGCCCTTACTTACTTCATGTAGTTTTCTAGTGAATTATCATTGAAATAAATTGAAATGCCCAAAAGAAGGGCACATAGGCCTTGGACTAACTGCTCTTCTTCTCCGAGATTTTCTGCAATTTGTCCTGTAAGCTGACATCTTTGTTAAGGAATTAATAATTTGTATTATCTAGAACATTTTACTTATACTGAATTTTTATGCAAGAAATTATATATATATTCCAAGCCAGCATACCATAAAAAACCATACGCACGCACGCACGCACGCACACAGCTGAAGCATGCATCATTATATCTCTAAAATATTTTCAAATTTCAGCCAGTTGAAAGACGTAAGTTACTTACATGCATAATACTAAAACATAAAGGATACAAATGGAACATTGGCTGAATTGTGAAGAAAATGTGTTACTGCAATGGGACAGCTGCTTAGCCAGGTACAAAGCAACATTAACAACCCAACTCTTGTCTGTATTTTGCTTCCCTGCAAAATAAATTGGCAGAAACCACTTTGTATTTATTTTTTTTCAAATTCATAGCTAGCCTAAGATCCCTTCCCTTCCGTGTCAAGAAAACTTCAATATCGTGAGATGTGTAAGGAAGCCAGATTTAAAAACTGAACTAAAGAATAAATTTTTGTGTCTACCACAAGCTACACCTCCCCAAATAAACACAGTGCAGAAATTAGAACTGATTCATATCCACCAATACAAGTGTCCATTTAAAACAGGAGTGGTGGCTGGGCTGGGAATATAGTTCAATTGGCACAGTGCTTGCCTAACAAGCACGAAGCCTTGGGTTCCATCCTCAGCATTGAACAAAACCAGGTATGGTGGTGCATGCCTGTAATCATAGCACTTGGGAGACAGAGATAGGAGGATAAGAACTTTAAAGTCATCCTGGACTATGCAGTGAGTTCAAGGCCAGCCTGAGCTACACTACACTACACTACCACCCTGCACAAATAAATAAATAAAATGAATAAATGAATGAATAAATAAATAAATAAATGGTGGTAGCAAAATTGTAGTGTAGGAGCTTTAAAAGACCAATCCCAAGACATCTGATCAAAAATAAATGTTCCACATATAGCTGAGTGAATAAGGAGGTGGGAAGGACTGGAGAAATTGGGGGAAAGAAAAACATGATCAAAACATATTGAATGAAAAAAATTTAATTACAAATAAATAAAACAAAAATAAATGTTCCAGACAGATTAATATTTCAATTTTTTTGAATTAGCAAAACAGTGAGAGGTTTTATTGAGAAGTGAAAGAGGAAGGTAGATAGATATACTGCAAGGGAATCTCAGAATTTTAAAAGCAAGTTCTTGATAAGAGAAAAAATTCTTTCTTCTTCAAAAAACATAAAGAAGTCAGGTGGTGGTGGTGCACTCTTTTAATCCCAGCACTTGGAAGGCAGAGGCAGGCAGATCTCTGTGAGTTCAAGGTCAGCCTGATCTATAGAGTAAGTGCCAGGACCAGCTCCAAAGCTACACAGAGAAACCCTGTCTTGAAAAACCAAAAACCAAAACCAAAACCAAAACAAACAAACAAAAAAAACCCCAAACAAACCATAAAAAAGGTGCAAAAAGAATCTCCTAAACCATTCAAATTCCATGAGAATATATCATTCTCAAGTAAGAAATGAAAAACCATGCTGCAAACCTAGTGATACATGCCAGAAGATACATCTCAGGCATAAGCAAGGGGAGAGCGGTTCACTAGCACCAAGAATGCATGAACATACCAACTGTACTGTTGCCAAGATCAGGTAAATAATATTAAAAATCATGTGTCCAACAAGGTTTCGAAGTTTTAATACAACACAATTAGTTCTCCATATATAATGTTATTTATAACATTGCCACTGCCCATTTATACTACTATAGCCTTATTTTTCTTTTTTAAAAAACAAAACCTGAAATAAAATAATCAAAATCAGCATGATAATGCATCACTTTGGGAAGAATTTTCAGAAGTATCCAAGTTATAAATTAACTCTCGCTATGCTTTTCAAAGGTTCTCTTTAGATTTAAATGCCACATTTACCCAAAGGCAGATTTCTCCCTTCTTTCCCACCTTTCTGTTAGAGAGTGTACTCAGGGCCTTCCCATGTGAAGCACAGGCTCTAATATTGGGCTACACCTAAGTCCTTGAAGGACTTTACTTTCATAGAATTAAATAATCTGATTTTGGGCTGGAGAGACGGCTCAGTGGTTAAGAGCACTGACTGTTCTTCCAGAGGTCCTGAGTTCAATTCCCAGCACACAATTCCACCCACATGGTGGCTCACTACCATCTGTAACGAGATCTGGTGCCCTCTTCTGGCCTGCAGACATATACACAGACAGAACACTGTAAACATAATAAATAAATAAATCTAAAAAGAGAAAAAAAGAAAGAGAAAACAGCTCTTGGAGCTGGAGAGACTTTTTTTTTTTTTTCAAAAAAAATCTGATTTTTAATACCATATGGAAAAATAAGCTAGTGGAAATAATGAAGGACACTGTGAAAAATAGTAATGAGGTGATATTAGATCATGGAGAGAAGTCAACAAAATCAAAGGCCAGAAATGGACTTGTACAAATGAGAATTTTAGTGTGTGGAAAAAGTACCATAAAACTATCAGTTTGTTGTAGATAGACTTTAAAATACTGGGGCAACTAGATATCTGCCTAGAAAACACCAAGTAGGAGCTAGCTCAGCAGGTACAAGTGCATGCTACCAAGCCTGACAACTGAAGTTCAATCCTCAGACTTCAAGGCAGAAAAATAGAATGGATTCATGAAAGTTGTCCTCTGACCTCCATATCCATATCATGCCATGCATGCATGCTAAGGTAGGCAGGCAGACATGCACGCATGTGCACACACATGATGGTGATAATTAAAATAAAACTTAAAAAAGATCAGTGGGTCTGTATGGCATACAGTTCATTCATAAAAATGGAAGAGTAGAAATACTAACAGAAATGATGATAGAACTTCAGATTAAGTACACCAGAACCCTGAGAGGTAGCCTTTCTAAGAATGACTTACGAAGCAGAAGTCATCAAAAACTGACTTTAAAAACCCAAAACAAGAGCTAGAGAGATAGCTCAGTAGTTAAGAGAACTTGTCAAAAGAAACACGACATGCAAGCAACAGTTAAGTTCCTTAAGGTGAGCAGAGATTAGGATATACAAAACCTTGCCACACCTCTTGTCAGAGCCTACAGAATGTGAACCATGGAGAAGACAAAAGGAGACTGGGAACAAAAGGAGATCGATGATATTCAGGACATCCTGAGGACGGACCACAGATTTGAAAGGATGAAAGAAAAGCTATAAATACACACACATGTATTTAAGTTTCTTATGGGGAGAGAGAAAAAGAGAGGGTGGGAAAGGGGGAGAACAGGAGGGGGAGAAGAAGGGGGAGTTCGAGTGAGCCAGTGTGTCAATGTGGTGTATGTGTGCAGAGAGGGTGTTAAGAATCTTCCATCCCTTTCTCCACATTATTTTTGAGTCAAGTGAGCCTCTCACCACTCATTGAACCTGCAATTCTCCTTTTTGGTTAGACTGGCTAGCGAGTCCATGGGGTGGGATCCACCTGCCTCCAATCCTCCGTGCTGGAGTTACAGGTGCACACCATCATGTCTAGTTTTTATGTCCTTACTGGGGATCAAAACATAGGACCTCATGCTTGTGTCGTAGGCACTTTACTCACCGAGCCACCTCATCAGCCCTTATTTGTCTGTCTGTCTGTCTGTCTGTCTGTCTGTCTGTCTGTCTGAGATAGGGTCTTGATGTGCATTTCTGGCTAGTCTGAACTTGCTATTTATACCAGGCTGGCCTCACACATACAGTGATCCTCCTGTCTCTGCCTCCAAAGTGCTGGGATTATAGGTGTTTACTACTACACTCAGGCACAAATAAAATATTTGAAGTTAATGCAAATAATCTTTAATATCAGCTTTGCTCTTCCAACTCCATTTTCTAAATAAAAATCCTTCTTATTCCTACGTTCATTCACGTTGAGATTTTTGTACTGTTTATGTAAACAAGATGCTGACACTTAAAACCTTTAAGGTTTTTGCATGAAAATAAGGTTCTAGAAGTTGGACATAGTAGGTCTACCTATAATCATAGCACTGAGGAGGGGTAGAGGCAGGAAGGTCAGTGTTCAAGGCCAACCTCAGCTACATAGTGAGTTCAAGACTAGCTTGGCTTACATGAGACCCTGTCTCAAAACCAATCAAAAACAAGAGTTCTAGTGTCTTATGATCAGATTCATTTTTAGCAGTGGTTTCTAAGAACAAAGAATAAAAGCATTGGTGAAGTTACAAAATACAATTTGTTATGAGTGGTTAAAAAACAAAGCCAATCAATTAAAAACTTAATGTCTGCCTTTTAAGTGATTGACATTTATACTTACAAAACATATCCTAATATCAAAAATTCTGGGGCTGGAGATTGTGGTTCATTGGTAAAGTACTTACCTAGCACATACAAGCCCTGCATTTGATCCCCAGAACCATATAGGAAAACAAAGAAACAAAAACTGCTGGCAGAAGTTGTAATATATGTGTGTGTGAGTCATAACTCCATAATAAATCATGCTCACACATTAAAGTATAATTACTAGCAAGACCTCACTTATTGCTACCTGAACTGTACAACTGAAACACACGACTAAACAAGGATGTTAACATATACTTTTGGTTTTTGTTAAATACTTTGTCAAAAGAAAAACTAAACCAACAGAACATAAATAACATTCTCCCTCCAACACAATAAAACCAGTATGGTAGGTAGTTGTAGCATACAGATTATACCCAGAATAATCTATAATATTTCTTTTGGTTTTTTTTTGGGGGGGGGTTTCAAGACAGGGTTTCTCTGTGGCTTTGGAGGCTGTCTTGGAACTAGCTCTTGTAGACCAGGCTAGTCTCCAACTCACAGAGTTACCTGCCTCTGCCTCTGCCTCCTGAGTGCTGGGGTTAAAGGTGTGCACCACCACAGCCCGGCTTCTATAATACTTCTTTAAAAATCATTATAATTACGAAAATTTTCTTATTGCACATTTTAAGTGTGCAAGTAGTAGAAAGTCACCTATTTCTCCTTCAAATACTGATTAAAAGACTTTTATCTCTAAACTTGACTTTAAGTTGTTTTTAAGGGAAATAAAGAAACAAGCTTGGGGAAAACAACACAAAGAACCAAAACTGAGGAATCTGAGGACAGTGCAAGCACCCTGGATGAAGCCCAGGCACACAGGTTTAGTTGTTCCCAGTCTTAGTAACCAGTCCAAGAGTGGATGGAGGAAACTAGAGACCACCTGTGACAGACGAGCTTGCCAATACATGGAAGTGTGAGTAGAACGGAACTTCAAACAAGCTGTTAAAACCAACTGCAAAACCCAAGCCAAGAAGAAGCCCCGTCAGAGGAAAAGGCCTTAACTTATCAGTGTACATACCCGTCTGTCGATCTTATCACCCTGCAAATTATATGTCAGGCATTATTCATAAACATTGCTTTAAATAACCCAAGTCCAGAAAAATCCCCCAAATATACTTTGTTTCTGCAAACCTAAGCCAATACTAAGTGACAGCAAAGTTCTAATCTATATAAAGATGGCACATAAAGGTTAATTTTATAACATTGTGACTACTTACGTTAGACACCTCCACTTTAGGCCTTCACATTATATAATCATTACAATTACAAAGCTAGGTGCATCTGTGGCAATGTGGTCAGAGAGTTTTCACGACTAGCTTAAAAACAGTTGTTTTCAACAGACAGACAATAAGTAAAGATTTACAAATTTTAGTTTTTTTTTTTTAAATCACTAAGAGACAAGTGATAAATCTGCAACTGAAGTAAATCAATTCAAACAGTATTCAACTCTTTTCCATTATAGCTATTTTTAAATTTTTCACTTATAACTTTTAAGTTATAAGTGAATGACATTATTTCTTTAGTAGAAACACTCCAAAAAAAGGCCTGGTAACTGGGGGCATAGCTCAATGGCAGAAGGTGTTTAGTAAGCATGAAGAGTCCAATGCCCAGCGACAACAACAAAAAGTTCAAAACAAAGAAAATGCAACACATAGTGAAATTACATAGTAAGGGCCACAACACAGTACTGTGGGAGTATGGGCAGGACCCTCCACTGCTAAGAGTAGGAGACAGAACAGTTTGCTTCAGGACTCTGGCTTTCACTGTTCAGAAGCAAGGCTAAGTGCATGTGGGTCAATCATGTACTATGAGGCATGCCCAAGCACCTTGGCAGCATGTGTCACTTGTTCTCATTAAACAGATGAAAGAACACACACATTCTTATTTATGCTCATCTGTATCTTGCTAGGAATGTGAGAACTCACAGACAATTTCGTATACACTGCACACACTGTGTATGTAATGAACTGCTGTTTTTTGTGTGTAGGGGGAGATGACCAATTGTTTCAGGAGAAAAGAGGGAGGTGTAGAACTATGAATTGCCTTCATTTTACTTTCCTCAATCGATCTGAATTCACTGAGAAGAGAAAAATGACAGGGAGGAACCCTAAAAAGTAAATATACCTGTGCCAAGAACTTGTGTCTTGTCATAATAAAGTCCTCATCATTGGCAGAACTATTCCTAAAAAAAGTTACTGCTTCCTCTCCACAGACTTTCTGGACTCAGAGAGCACTTTCTTTCCTTCTCCCCCACATCTTCTGAGGCCCCACTCTGTGTCACTGACATGACAGCCCTGAGCTCACACCACAGGAGCTTCGTGGTCCTTACCTGGGAGAGGATGTTGGTGCATTGCTGCAGCAGGGACACTGGGGGGTTACCAATGCTCGTGGCCAGCTGAACCCTGAGCAGCTGCTCCTTCTGGGTAGCATTCCCTTGCAGTGCATGGGCAAGGGCCACAGCAGCACACCAGTTTGAAAGAGAATCTGTAGAAAAGAGGCCTCCACAGAGCAGCTGACCAGCTGAGACTGAGTTACCTGTTGCTGCAAACAGAGAAATGTTACACACTAGCCCTGAGGAAAAGCCACTCCCAAGGTTTGACAGAACCGTTTCCTACACATTGTTACCTACTATCTAAGACTTTCAAACACAAAGGGACAGATGACAGAAAGGCATCTCCTAAAGGGGGTAGCCTCACAAAGAAATATTAGATCACTGTAGGCAACAGACTGATGGTAACAACACAGAAAACTATGGGAAAACAATATTTCTAAAACAATTGGCACAAGGCCTGGTGGTGGTGGTGCATGCCTTTTATCCCAGCACTTGGGAGGCAGAGGCAGGCGGATCTCTGTGAGTTGGAGACCAGCCTGGTCTACAAGAGCTAGTTCTAGGACAGCCTCCAAAGCTACACAGGGAAACGCTGTCTCAAAAAACAAAACAATAAACAATTGGCACATTATTTCAGTACTTTCAGTATCTTATTTTCATTTACAGAAAATACATCTTTATGGTAATATCCTTTACAAGAATAATTTTTGTAAAATACAATGGACTTAAATTTTTGTCAACCTCCCATATTTATGCAATCAAACTCACCAAAGTTTCCAGTTACTTTTGTCAAATTGCTCTTTAAAGTTATGAAAATAGCCATTTAAACACATCTCAAGTAAAGTGAATACTGGAGAATCCGTAAGTAATAGCTGTACTCTATCAGAACAATAGACCAGATCGCTGAGCATGACTAAGTGTGATTTATCTTCACAGTGCTAATTCACTGCTGTTTATCACACACTAGGATTTGGGGTCATGGCTCTACCTGTGTAACTGCATATGTGTAATATTCACAATGTTTCTAATTACATCATCCCCATGTACAGATGAGTACCACGATCCCCTCACACCTTAGTAACACAAGAGAAGCAGAAGTTCTGCAATGTAGTGTCAGGTATGGCCTGACTCAGCTCTCCTCCAACCCCATCTAAGGCTTCCATCTAAGTTACAAAGTACTCAAAGCTAAAACGTAGGCAAAGGTTCAAACACAAGCTTGAAAAAACTTTTTACTGTCTATATATTAGTTAGAACTAAGTTACTTGCCATCAATAGTGGACGGTAGAAGTGTTGCCACAATTTCTCCCTGTCCTTTCTGGTTTTTATATAAAAAGCACTGGAAACAGTAGAGGACAGCACAGCGTAACACAAATGGCTGCCTTTCGTTCACCATGGACATGAGAAGTACAACAATTGCTGGTCTGTCAGAGTGCAAAGAAGAGAGTGATATGGAAGCATTACAACCCAGATACACAGACAAACTACCAGTCATTTGTTGCCTCAAGTACCATAACCGGGACTCTAGCAACAAGTATTTCCATCTTCATTTCACAAAGAAGGGAGCTGTGCCTAAGAAAGTAGTGTGATTTGTGTGTCAGCTGAAAGGTTGGCAGCTGAACCAAGTATTAAGTACTAGAAGTATATAGTCTTAATCACCAATATCTCTATACAGAAGCACACAGTCTTCATCACCAATATCCTTATACAGAAGCATACAGTCTTAATCACCAATAACCCTATACAGAAACATACAGTCTTAATCACCAATATGCTTATACTATTGAACCATTCCATAACACACGCTGACCTTTAAGAAGAATAAGATGGGCATATGAGATCCACTAACACCTGAACCTAAGCGCTTACCATTTTCTCACAGGGACCTTCATTTCCAGATTCTTACCTTGGGGGATTTGAAGGTGCATTCACAGAAGCAAAGTAGTCCTGGTTGACTTGGCAGCCTCGAATAACTTCAGATACAGTATTTATGGTCTGTCAAGAAAGAAAAACAAAAGAACACCATGGAAAGTAAGCTAAGATGGAAAACCTGTTTTCCAAGAAAATGTTACACCTTGTCTTTTGTTTTTAAATATCAAAATTCAGACATGAAAAGGTTGGTTAGAGCATTCTCCTGTTGAAAACTCTCTGGAGAGCTTTTCAGGATGCTCAGACAGGCCTCACACTAAAACCAACATTCGCTGGGCACCGTGCACACACCTGTAATTTCAGCACTGAGGGTCGAGATGCATGAAGAACACAAGTTTAAAGGCCAGTTTCATTTCCATAGCACATCTGGGGCCAGTCTCATAACCAAAACCAAACCAAGTATTTGATCACATGCAGTTAGAGATCTCATGGAAACTAAAATAATGATATACTGTAAGAGGTAGGACTTATCCTCCCCCCAACAAATCAGAAGAACGATTTAAAATAAAATCAATGAACACATTTAAAATACAACATAATGAACATTTAATTTAAGGATTAAGTAAAAAAATAACTTCAAGAAAAGAGAAACTATATTTCAAAGCAATATGTTATACATAATAAACACGACATTATGATCAACTAAAAATTACTTCTAAAGATATGCTTAGGTTCAGAGATTTTCAAATTTGTTAACAGAGTTCCAGAAGGAGAACAGAAAGGATGTTATCAAGGATGAGCAGCCATTCTCCTTGCTGAAGAGAGTGTGCCCATAGCGGGGAGGGCTATCACTGCTAAGATGGGGATCAGAGTCACAGTTATTATCAGCAGTTTTCAGAAAACCAGAATTAAAAAGATCCAAAAATGAAAAAGCAGGTTTCATTATTAAAAAAAGAGTTAGAATTCAAAGTGGCCACAATATTCCTTAACAATAGTAACAGAATGATGTCCTGAAAGTTGAGTGACAGTTATTTCAAACCCGAGTCCATACCTAACCCAACAATAATGCTGAAGGAGGGAATAAGATTTTCATGCATAAAAGAACAACAAAAAAACCCTATTTTGCCAATAACTTTCTTTTAGAAAACTTAGTAAAATGAGATGAAGAATCTAGAAGTAAAGGGAAAAAGATTTAGGATCCAGAAAAAGGTGGAATCCAAATCAAGGCAGAGAGAAAGGGAAATCCCAGGAGAAGTTCAGAATGGAGTCCCAGGACCAGAGCTGAGCAGCTGGACTCCAGCTTGGATGGAGCAGGATGGAGTGTTCCCAGAACTGGGGTGGGGGTGATGTGGTGAGGAGAGTACAGGGTAAAATTACACAGAGCTTCAAGATGAAGAAGAATGCAATCAGAGCTCATGTAGAGTTAGACACACAACATGTCCTCTTTCAGTAGATGCAGAATTCTGCTTGGCTTAGCAGGAACAGTGTGAATATACACATTAAATGCATAAACTGCAACACAGCCCAGTGGCTGGTGCCTGTGACCTCAGCACTGAGGAAGCTAAGGCAAGAGCACTGTCTGGAGTTCAAGGCCAGCCTGGGTAAGAGTGGTAGCTTGCCTCACAAATGTTATAGCTCTACATAAATCTACTAATTTAAACATACATTACATAAAATAATCCTGGCATGATAGGAAGCAAAGAAAGCTGTGGGACTGGGGTGGGGACAAGACTGACTTAATGGGGAGAGAAATGATATAAAAAATGGCTAGTTTTGTTCTAAACTTATTATTTGTATTTTCCATATACATATATCAACTGACAAATATAATTACAGGTTTTATTACATTTATTCATTTGTGTATGATGTACATATGGAGGTCACAGGACAACCTGTGGGAATCGGTTCTCTCTTTCCACCATGGGTCCCTGGGATCCAATTCACCTCCACAGGTGTGGCAGTGAGCATCTTTATTAAGCCATCTTGTCAGCCCAACAAAAGTAACTGAAACAAAGTATCTACATTCTATGAACTAACTTCTTTATTCTTACAGATAAGAAACAGACAATGCCATAAATCAAGGCAAAAATTTTACTATTCTTTAAGTCAGTCTGTTAAAGGATTCTAAATAATTTTGTTCTTTTTGTTTTGGTTTTTTTTGAGATAGAGTTTCTCTGTGTAGCTCTAGCTGTCCTACAATTCAATCTATAGACCAAGCTAGCCTTGAATTTAGAGAGGTCTGTCTGCCTCTGCCTCCTGAGTGCTGAGATCAAAGGCGTGCGCCACCACTGCCCGGCTAATATTTTTGTTTATAACATTAAAACTATAAGTTCCTCCTGTAAGTGGTCTGAAATGACCTGAAGATGGATTGTTACTCTTGATCCAGAAAATGCCACAGAATCATGCAAAGTGAGAGTTTTAAAACTCTGTGTCCACTTTTAAGAACACTGGTACCAATGGAATAGAGTTGAAAACCCTGAAATTAACCCACACACCTACGAACACCTGATTTTTGACAAACAATCCAAATATATACACTGGAACAAAGAGAACATATTCAACAAATGGTGCTGGCATAACTGGATGCAAACATGTAGAAGACTACAGATAGACCCAAGCCTTTCGCCCTGCACAAAACTTAAGTCAAAATGGATCAAAGACCTCAACATAAACCCAGCCACACTGAACCTACTAGAAGATAAAGTGGGAAATACCCTTGAATTAATTGGTACATGAGACTGCTTCCTGAACATAACACCAGTAGCACAGACACTGAAATCAACAATTAATAAATGGGACCTCCTGAAACTGAGTAGCTTTTGTAAGGCAAAGGACATAGTCAGCAAGACAAAACGACAGCCCACAGACTGAGAAAAGATATTCACCAACCCCACATCTGACAGAGGGCTAATCTCCAAAATATACAAAGAACTCAAGAAGCTATTCTCCAAAACACCAAACAATCCAATTAAAAAATGGGGTACAGAACTAAATAGACAATTCTCAATAGAGGAATCTAAAATGGCTGAAAGACACATGAGAAAGTGTTCAACATCCTTAGCCATCAGGGAAATGCAAATCAAAACAACTCTGAGATACCAT